GGCCTTCATCCTGCTGCTCTTCCTTGCTCTCTTCCTCCTATGCTGGTGTCACGGAAACACAGGTCATTGGGTGAGTAGGGAAGGGGGACCTGGGGTGGCAGGGTGGGCTCAGGCACGAGCCACAGAGAGACCAAACAGATGGGGAGGGTCAGGGTAGAAACGCTGCTCCAGTGTTTCCACACTAGGACCCTCTGGAAAGTGTGGACGCAGCTCACATGCCTGTGTTTAACCACCTGTGGAGCTGATCAGGGTCCTGCAGTGTGTGCAGCATCTGTGCAGGGGCGTCCCCAGGTTCCCTGTCCCATTGAACTCCTGTGCAGGGTGAGGACTTCTAACCCTGCAGGGCTGAGACTCTCTGTCCCTTCCTAGACCAGAGAGAGGCGGGGACTGTGGACCTGGAGCCAAGGACAGAGGGCTGCAGCAGAGGTAATTCTAGCTGAAGACCCCAGACTACACCTGTCCACAGCCCCCTCACTGCTCCTCACACTCTGTGTCCCCTCCCAGGTCCAGTCCAGCTGCTGATGTTCAGGACGAAAACCACTGTGAAAGGAAAGGGACCTTTGGGGGGAGATGGGAACCCTTGGGGGAAAGAGGAGCCACAAAGGTTCAGTAGCAATTGGGGAGGAGAAGGGGGAGAGGGTTTGGGATTCAGGGGGTGGTGGTCTGACCCCCCACTGGGAACCATGGAGAACATCATAGGTATTCCCTGAATCCCATGGCCCCATCTCAGAGTAGTGCAGGGGACAGTGGGACTGAGAGGTCCCAGTGGAAAAACCCCTCATTCTGTCCCAGGAGATCCTTTCATGAAAGACATGCAGCCTGAGGACAGGATGGTGTTGGAGAGCCAGGTGAGACCCCTGTCCCTGTCCAGGACTCCTAAGGCCTCCTGCTATCACATTTAATACTGAGGACACTCCCCTGTCCTCCCTTCCATCAGCTTAGCACTGTCCCATGGTGGACTCCTTCCCACTGCCTGCTGTGACCTCACTGTCCCCTGGTTTCCTGTAACCTTGGGGCCCCTCCTTTCCAGATCCCCATCCTCTGTCTGATGTCTGGGTGTCAGAGAGCACCTCCAGGCCTTAGAGACTACATGAATCACTGAAGCCCCTGAGTCCCCACCTCCCCTTCATTCCTTCACCCTGCAGTGTCCATGGATGATTTTTACCTCCTTTTTTCTGCCTAATTGCTCTGCCAAGGTCTCCCAGTACTATGTTAATAGAATTGGCAAGAGTATACATCTATGAAAAGGATTCATCCATCCTCTTCCTTTAGAGAG